CTGTCAGTCTGATCTTTATAAGGACAATATCTTGTTCCTGGCCAAGAACAAGTTTTAACTTGTTACTGATTCATTGCCTTGTTGTTCGTTGATCAATCTTTATGACTCCTAAGTATCATGAAATATATTTTCCTGACTTAATAGAATCCATTCTAGCAAATTCGACGGGCATCCAAATCCCATATACGAGTATATTTATCAAATTGAACGTAAACCATATAAAACAGTCTACGTCAAAGTGTGTTCTGCCAGCAAATGCGCGACTTTTTTGAACTGACAGTGGACAGTGCTCATAAGATAATTTCATGTTATAGTGATCTAAGTTCCTGAACCGCTACAAGTTGCGATAGACTGTGGTGGTATGTGCCAGCTAATGTCGCCTACCCCACAGCTGGTCGCTGAGCGCTTCTAGACAACTTATTGGGCCGTCTTCGCCTTTAATGAATCGCCAAAGCCACCGAAAGCAAAGTCAAAAACCACCACCGTCTGGTGACGTCATTGCCCCGAGCTGTTTAGCAATGGAAAGAAGCAATGATATGCGTTAGGAAAGCTTGTCCCCACATTTGTCTGTAGAATGTCATGATTCAGTTAAGACCAAATTCTATATCAAAAGTCATCTCACAAAGGCACTGCCTGAATTTAATTCTCGGCTTTCACGGCACTAAAACCCAAGTCCAGTTCAAGCATCAGATATATTTTTTTACTTAGGCTGATAGAGTTTTTGAAAAATGTTAATTACTCTGTTTTTAGGTCAGATATGGGGTAAACTTGAAGTTACTTTTAATGGTCAAGTAACAAAATGGAAAAGAGTGGCATAGCTTATCGTGTATCATTACTGCCGTGATCTCTTTGTGTACAGGTGCGCGTGTCTCACTGGACTCAAAGTTTTAACAGTAGGGTACGATATGCTGTACTTCTTTTTCCATTTATTTCCATTACTTGACGATAGTAGTAGTAAAGGTAACAAGATGTTTTCACCACGTACTGCGAAGCTGCCAGAATTTACTGAATTTTGGGACACGTTGCTATAACTGGTGTCCATCAAAGCTTCACATTTACGGTTCATCAGTATCTTTGTCATTTGGTTTTACTCCTCTATTATTGGAAAAATCTTGTAGTAGTATTTTACCTTATTGGCAGAGATACAACTTTATTATTTGTTTTTTATTCTGCAAGATTTGAAGATCTCTACTATTACTACCCTTAGTCCTACAACAAATACTTGTTTGTCTCATCAGTGACGTGAAAGTTAAGTCTTTAATTCATTCTTTTCTATTCGACCTGCTCAAAACGGCTACTTGGAGGGTTGTATCGCACTTCAGTATAGAGGAAGATGCAACTGATAGACTGCCTAAATGAATCTATGTAAGAGGTTGGTTGCCAAAACGATACACTACTGCTTTATTGTTATTTTATAATTCGTGAAATTTTGAGCAAAATTGTAAGCCAAATTAGAATGTTACATTCTCGGAAAAAGCGTCTTGAAATAACTAGGAACTCATAAGTTTTTGATTTTATGGTGTCTGACATGTCGTTTTTAATGTATAGTAACATTCCACTGTAACCGACAAGCCACTACAAGATGATAATTTAACTACAGAGGCTAATATGCCCGACATCGAGAATAGACATAAAAATCCAGAATCAGCAGCATCAGTCCATTACGAAGTCAACCAGGACCATCCACAGCCTCAGACACTACTCCTCCAACAGAATCACCATTAGTTTCCGAGAATAATTCATCCTTAGATACGCCTGAAGTTCTTAAGCCACTGCCAGAATCAGATTTCGCTAAATCCAAAAAGGGATGACAAATGAAATGAAAAACGGCCATACTAACAAATACACCAGAAAAACTTTTAATTGAAGCACAAAATTTAATGAAAAAAGTCCCAAGTTCAAAATGTGAAGGAAAAATCGCTGCACCGAAAGACGACACTTTTTCAGATTCTTCTGACGAAGAAACCCTACCCTCTGTTTGGTATGTTTTGGTCCATATTCTAAGAGCACAGAAGACTGGTTGCAATGTCGAGAATGCAAAAAGTACATTTTATGTTTGCGTAAATTGTAGCTCTGACACCGACGACTAATTATTTATTAGAGTTATCTAAGAAGATGTAATGAAAAAGTTTAGTTTCAGTATCTTATGTTTCCTTTTGAATTGTTTGATGTCCTGTTATTTTTTATATAAGATTTGGCCAAAGAAATAAATGTTTATTTTTATTATTTACGTCTTCATTTGTCATGCTTTACCTTTTTAAGTCACTGTACGGATCTGTTACAATTGACGCTGACCCTGTTACTATTGACACCTCTTAGGTGACAATTGTAACACTTGTAACTGTTCCCTCAAAAGCGTTACCATTTCATATTTGCGAAACGTGTACTGTTTTAGAATTCAAAACAGTTTTATCTAAGTCACTGTACGGATCTGTTACAATTGACGCTGACCCTGTTACTATTGACACCTCTTAGGTGACAATTGTAACACTTGTAACTGTTCCCTCAAAAGCGTTACCATTTCATATTTGCGACACGTGTACTGTTTTAGAATTCAAAACAGTTTTATCTGTATTGCTGCAGTTGTGATTAAGGTAAATTGAAAGTTTTAAAAAGTAACCAGAACTCAGAAAATAATATATTAATTTTGTTACAATTGGCACCGGTCTGCCCTACTGAAAAAAAGTGTATCGGGGTACACTTATCCTACTAAAGCTAAGGAATAGTTACTTTACAATGTTCCTGCACAGCTCAAAACTTCACCGCAATTGCCGGATACCAATCCCATTGAACATTTGTAGTATATTATGTTGGACCTGCAGGCCCGAAAACTGAAATTTCTGCCAAACAGATGCAAGATGTTCTTATGTAGGAATGGTAACAACCTGGGCCAGAAAGGCGATGATTGGTGCAAATAGTATTACTCGTACTAACAGTAGCTAAATTTTGTTAACACTTATATACTTGTTTGTTATTTGATTCTTGAATTTCATAATTCCTATTATTACACTTATACTGTTTTTAATTTGTTTAATCTAATGCCTTCGAAAATGACTATTTGGATGTTGGTTTTCAAATTAAATCTAATGTTCGTTATTGAGGTTCAATAATATAATAGGGTGGGGTTTCCTCCAAATTAAGGTGCAATATGACCGCTCCAAGCTGCCGTTGTACAGCCTCAGTAAGGGAATCAGCGTTAAAGTTGTAATTGTTTCGTTATATTTTTAAATGAGGCCATTGTATAAAATTAAACTTGGTTATTATGAATGTTTAAGTGTGGGAAAAACTTAATGAAATGATACATCTACTTTCTCTGTTAAGTCCAGGTCTTAGGTAGTACTTAAGAAATCGTGGAGCTGAAATTGCATAATTGATAATATTCTTAAGAGCAGTAGGATACTATAGTATACTGAACTATTCAGCTATAAACTACTCGTTCGTTGTTTTATACCATAACATCCCAATTCCCTTTCCAAAACTTCATCACCTTTCGATTTCGCACAGTATGGTGTGTGATGGAAAATATGTAGATATATCATTTCCTACCGACAGAACCTACCCTCTTATTAAAATGTATAAGATGAGAGTGTGACAGGGGTAACGAAAAACAAAATAAAGCAAACAAAACAAATAAAGCCACCATGTTAACCGTACCAACTGAACACAAAACATAATTAGAGTAATAACATGTGGTGTTATTATAAAAATCACCTTAATGGGTAAAAAATAGCGGGTCATCACTCACAGACACACTATACAATCTAAGTAGTCAAATACCTATTCAAGTTTTTCGCTAAGAAATCTATCATTCCACTTCGCTAGCTGACGCAATGTCGCTAGAATGAGCATCAAGTTAAAAAAACAGCCATTTTCTAGTCAACTTTTAACAATTGTCCGATGGTTGGAACAATCAAATGATCACCTGTGATTGTTGCTATTACTTATCTTAACGGTCTCATTTTCCATATTCAATTTTTTCGTTCAAAGAAAACAGCAAAATATTTACCGCTAATAGCGATTTCTGAATATGAACTTCCCATATTTGTTTTGTGTGCAGAAAAAGTCAACATTCATTTGGTGTCATTTATCCAGTATGGCAATACAAATGACGAAAGCACAAAGTAACAAAGTAAAAATTCGGAAAAAGCACGTTGGAAACCTGAGTTTCAATTTTCTGAACTTCCATAAAACTGTCAAATGAAAATCAATAAGCGTTTTAGCGTGAAAGTAAATCTTGCTTCGCCGGTATTATTTATCTTTCAAGAAAGGTTAATATATAAAAATTATAGTGAAATTTCTCCAGTTAAAAAAGTTTAGTCGCTACTGTTTCAAAATGCACTTTTCTTAGAAAACGATATTTGAGCCCTGGACACAAACAAAGGAATCATTGTAGTCGTGAAAATACTTAAATCTCAGTTAACAAGTTGTTTTAAGCTCGCATCTCTACATACTAAAATCCATGTAATAGCATAATATCAGAAACGGCTGAACAGATTTTAATATTATTTGGGAGAAGGTATGCTTAGGAGCACATCTCCGAGCAGAAAACAAAAAAAGTCTCAAATCGTTCCCAAATTTCGCTTTCGTATGCTTTTGTTCACTTCAAGATTTAAGGTGTGGTCAAAAGCAAAATATGGAACTCAAACATCATTTGTGTGACATTTTTTCAATTGGTAGATATGTACTTGGAATTTGGAACTGAGCGTATATAAATACGTGGGAAGTACTAAGTGAATCTACCTGAGATTTGCTGCTTATAGATCCATTATCAACAGTGGAAAATAGTACGCATTAAGAGAATCTCCAATGATAACTTTCTAGGAAAAAACATTTCGTTTCACAGAATATATTTATATTACTGCTACAATTTCTATAGATGCTGAGTTTTGCGCAACTGCATAAAGTTAATCAGCGACCATTTGACTTTTCCTTAACCCAAATCGGACACCAAACAGACAGTCTCTGACTTAAAAGTCCATCAGTCTCTGAACTCCACTTACTGAAACGTCTCATGAAATTCTCCGCAAACGTCGGTTGGGGACTGACCACTGTAGACTCGTCCTTATCTCTCAAGTCCCTGTAAGTTTGCTGCTCTGTCCTCATCAACTTGATATTTGGCACACTTAGCAACCTCTGATCCCTTTTATCTTTCTTTTTATGTCTTGGTGGCCTTACCGGCACCTCCTCATCATCTTCTGGAAGCTCTAGATTATCTGGTCTCACTGCAAAATTGACTTTTCGGTTGGCGTCCAGAGACCCCACCTCGAAAGGCACATCCTCCTCTTCTGGAGAAAATTGACACGATTCTAAATTGACGTCGTCACTTCCTTTGCGTTCTATCACAGTTTCCTCCGATTCTGGAGAAGTATCAACCTCCTCAATGTTATTACAACAGATGTCTTGGTTGGGCGACAGATTGTCAGAATAGAAAGTGCTACCCCTTCTGGTGTCGACTTTGAGAGGGTTTTTGAGCTTGAGGTCGACTTTTGACAGTCTTCGTTTGAGCTGCTTCTTCCAAGCCGTGGTGGATTTGCGTCTGGTCATGGGGATACCGGCTGAGGAGTCTTCCAACTCCTCTAAAGCCTCACGAGCCTGTTCTACTGGGGTCGGGCAAGGAACGTAGGGCAAGGGGCTCTCTGGGGAACGGCCCATCTAAATCACACATGCCATTGGGTCAATCCGCACCAAATGATTGGTTTTGTATTATAAATGTGACCATGTATTTGAATTACGTTCTTTAAGATTTTCCCAGCCTCTTTGTCAAACTATGGTATCAAACTAAGGTAAACTTATTTAAAACCTGTTTGGCGAGCCCACCCATGATAAGTTTTAGTTTTGTCTCCGTATTTTTACAGGGGGGATTCGTAAATATTAATGTCGATACTGCCGAACTGAACTTTGTTATGTCATCATGAGTTTCAACACTGATTAATGTATTCTAGCTGAAGATAGCCAACCTAATGCTATGTTCCCGCTTCAAATGTGTCACAGCTCTTTCTCCATTTCCGTTATATACTTTGAAAGGGTTACTGTCTCATAGGTGGCGCTGTAGCCAATAATACGAGCATATACGAGCAAATTATGCAGCGCCATCTATAAGACACTAACCCTTTCAAAGTATATATTATACATAGAGGATCGGCTGTGCAAATTTCCCATAGATGACGCTACGGCTCTCATTTTATGTCGAGTAATTTTTTGGACCTGGCAATATAGCAATAGGGTGGATATCTTCAGGTAGAGTACTTTGATCAATGCTTTTAATTAGAAACTGTCATCAAAATGAAATCAAATTAATGCGTATGCATTTGAATAATGACATAAAACATAACCCGCATTCTTCCACATTCCTGATCTTGCCTATGTTTCAAGCACTACCTTAGCCTATTTCACGAAGTTTCCAGCTCACGAAATTTTCACTACCTTCTTGGCGATCTATAGCCAGCATAATTTGGAATGCTTCTTCGAGCTTGACAAAGAGGAGTAGGGATTTCGCAAATACACAAAGTAGATAAGTTACAGCCAAACCCATTTGATAAGGATTGACCGTGATATACTGAGGCCTGAAGCGAACTTAGAGCATTAAGGGTTTGCGAAATTATACAGAACTCTGTCAAGGGTTATGATAAATGAGCCTAAATCATAGCTTAATATTGAGGACCTTTCAGCAGAATGCCTGATTGTTACAGGAACTTCCAGCTATAAAAGTTTTAGCTAATCAATAAAAACACCTCAATATCTCACAGGTATACTTGACTATGAGATATATTATTTGTTTAACGAAATTTCCTGTAACTTCTGATATTCCTGCAATGATTTATTCAGCATTGTATTTCTAAAATGAGCGAATATCATGAAATGACGTGAATAGTTGCATCTTTGTGACAAAAATATTTCTCGGTCTACAAGGCGATACTCTGATAACTGACGTAAAAGGGAGTATACCTTTTGGATAATTCGACAATATATACATACTTGAGTTTGTAGATTGACCAGCAGCTAGACTGCTTCATTTGCATCATAATATATTTAATGTTATTGTTCGTAATGATGCCATAAAGACATGTTATCCTATCTTACTGTATCATTTGGATAGAGGATGTACCAAACGTCTATAAAATATTTTATCAGGACATCAATATGTGAATATTGATGTAGGATATTCCTCAGATAATTTTATGAAAAAAAGTTTATATGAAAATATGTCCGCCCTGCCTAAAATTTTTAGTTACCGGGTCTTTACCTTTCACGAAAAAATTTTCGAAAGTACTTTAGGTATTATTTTTATCTTTGTCTGACATAAGATATAAAATGATACACTAAGTGCAAAATGTTATGCAATTGTGCCACCAGTGGCAGCCCTATAAACGTGTCTTGTGATATAGATATTTCATAAAAAAATAGTATTATTCACCAACAGTGCCAAAATAATCATTTACCATTTTGTCATTTGAATAAAAAACAACTCATCTGAAAAGAAAATAGTAAGTGAAGGTATATATTATGCAAATATATTTACCTTGAAAATATCAGTGGCATGCTCATTTCTTTTGTGAAATATTTTACAAGACATACTTGCTTTCCACACTAAAATATTTTATATAGTCTTATAACATGCCAAGCATAAAACATACCTAAAGTATTTTTGGAGATACAAAACAAAAACATTAGGTACCTTGAAAAATCGATACAATATCCCAGCCAGCATGGTGTCGTGGAATCGACGTAGATATTTGGTGATTTTGGTCGATGTGGAAATTTAGTGAAAATTCTACGTTTATTCGACGTCAGTTATGGATCAAATTTCGCTTAAATTTGTCCGATATAACCACACCACGTCGATAAAACGTGAATATTACGACGTGTGTACACCTCTATACCAATTTCCACTGCCGCGAATAAAACCCGGTTATGTTGCAGTCACTTAACCGATTAATTAACGTAAACGTATTAGTTTGTTATAATCTTCTCCTGTATTCTTATAATATAATCGATCAAGCGGGGAAATTCGGTGTAGCACGTCACTAGTCGACGAGGGACGTTTTATCCACGTGAAAGAGTGACCGCAAATACATCTGTACCTGTGTTGGTTATTTATACACGTGGAAAAGACGTAGATGTGACGTGGCATTTTATCATAAATTTAAATTGTAATCTTCCAAATAGAGAATGTCCGAATGATCATGATAAGTGTTCGGGTGATGTAATTTATTTGTAGATACATCCTGGTGTCGTAAATTTAAAAGCGCATATCGAACCTAAAATGCTTTGCGAGATTTGTTATAAATAATAATGCCGTGTAAACATATGTATTAGTCATTATTAAGTGAAAATCATCGACCATCTTAGTGAAATAATAAAATATGAAAGTATGATTGAGAATTAATTATAATATCGATGTTTCTCCATTTCATGACCAATAAATTTTAAATATCGCGCCTTGATAGGGGAAGCCACAAATGATAAAGGGTGCCATAGCTGCATTGCCAGATTGCAGAATTTTCATCACGATCACCGGTATTAGCTCCCAAGATTTTTACATACTTATATTTCAGATTTGGAAAGCTACAGATTGTTTTCTTGTTATGATTACTTTTGTAATAATGCAATTTTTTTACGTCTATATAATGCTTTTGACTGAAGCTGATCTTTGTGTGTCGTTCCGTCTTCCTTTCATCTTTCATAGCATTTTCTAGAGTTCATAAATAGTTGTTTTCTGATTGAGTCTAGTAACATTTCCTGTGGAATTTTATATAAAGTACATTAAGCTTCTCCAACTCGATAACATTTGGAAACATTGAACAAGCAGCATTAGGCAAGCATGTTTTTGAACAGACATCCGATCCAATCAAAGCCATTCCCACGCTCGCCATCAAGAACCTCATGTTGTTTCTTACGTCGCGTTCTCCATCCTGCATCAATTTTGCAATTTGCGAAATGTGCACGTATCTGTATCTTCCTGTAACTTCTAAAGTTTAAGTGTGTTGACAAAAGCCATACTGTGTTCCTGATCATCGTTTAATCAAGAACAGCGTCGTGACAGTACTATGCCTTTGTATGAGCCATAGGCATAGGAATAGAATTTTCAGATGAAATTGGTGGTGATGCTGGGCGCGATATTGCCATAGTGTATGAAAAGTGGCTGATGCCGAGAAAGAAACGGGTGTGGTGGCCACCATATAAACAGCAAGTATGATATCGGAAGAATGTTTTTTGAGGACGGTAGGTATATTTTTCAAACTTTACCTATAATTAAGGGCCGTATCGCTATCGTCAGTCATCCCAACAATTATTGCAGGACGCCTTTATTTTCACAGTTTTCTACTGTTCCGTTTTACCGCTCGATATGTTACAAATATCTATTCGCATCAAAATGTTCATACTTTTGATTTATATCTATTTATCAGTCTGAAATTTCCTACGATTCAAGAAGAAAACATAACTTCACAACCCCAGCCTTTTGAAGAGGAGAAAATACTATGAAAATCAAGGAGGCCATAACGGCATCCTTCAATTGTAAGAATGACTGACAATACGGCCCTGAAATGTATTTAATTACTTCAAGTCTCTTTATGACAGTCATCAAGAAACAGCATCAATTCAATTTGAATATTTTTCAAATAATGCAGCTGCTAATTAAACTGCAAAAATTCATTACCCGCAAGACTTTTTTATTACAACGTGGGACTTCATGTTTGTAGAACATGAATCTGTTCAGCGAAAGTAAAGCTGTACAGGATTTTTACACTGAATAGCAGTAGCCATGGGATTTGCTACATGTCATTAGGACTTTAGTTGGTTATATGACCAAATTAGAAGAATATTATTTTCTTTTTCAGATCTTGTACTTTTCGAAGTTAGGGGGACGTGATATTACCAATAGTAGAACAAATATAATTTTGAGGCGCCTAATATTTGATAATTTGGCAGTTAGCTACAATTATTTCGGAACTAGACAAGAGAAGAAGGCATTCAAAACTTCATTTCTCAACAAGGTTGTAATAAGTAAGTACTAACAGATCTTTATAGGTTCCCAAACAGTTTCAGACCTATTATTGCTTACAAATTTTGTTTTTTGTATCTGATGTAACATACAAGACTTGGTGTACAACTATATTCAAAAGGCCTTTTTCATGTGACAGCTTTATATACTTATAGGTAAACAAGTGAAAAAATATTTACTAATAAAAAAAACTAAAATATAGAATGTGCTATCAGACTATCAGACAATTTATTCTGCATATTTTATTTTTCCCAAGTCAAATTATATTGATTTTAAGTTATGGTTGGATTGTAATATTATTTTGTATACAGTTGATTATATCACACCTATATATTCAAATTTTATTTCAAGCGGCACCAATGCTACCAAAAAATGTGTGAAGAAGATTCCATTAAAGCGTGTACCAAAAAGATATAAAACAAGATATTCATATATCTTTTTTATCCTCAGTAGTAGTAAAATGTTATATTGTGTTAACTAAAAACAATATTCAACTTTGATTTTCTACTCACATTCTTTTTTTTTGTTAGGCCGTGTCACAAAGTGAAAGGAACTATAAGAAAGTTATTAGTGAGCATCAGCCATTAGACGTGTTTGAAAGGAAGTCCAACAAATATTTAATAAATAAATGCCTCTCAGGATGTGGCTTCATCTCAACCACAGTCTTGTAGAGTCAGGCAATTCAAATTTTGAAGTAACTGAGGATATTTTGAGAAGTCTGAGACATTTAGAGCAAGATTTTGACAATAGTAATATTGAACAAGATCTATGCATCACCTATATGCGAGGTAGATTCTTCACAGCTATGCGGCTCTAAGGACCCAAGAATACATCAATGCTTAATCTGATGCCCACAAAACGATTGTTTCATTCACTAAGATCATATTAAATTAGAAAGCTAATATGCAATGAAATGTATTAAAACATATCTGCAAAAGTTGTATCTATTTTCTTAATTATATATGTATATAAGTTAATATATAATCTTATCAGTATTCATTTATTTTTAAATCTCACATAAAATATATGAGCAGACATGATGGTTTGTATTTAAAGCAATCGGTGAAATGTTGTTAACAAGACATATTTAGAACTAAAATGCTTACAATTTTTTACAAAAAATTAGAATACTCATGTTTTTAAGAAGTTGTTATGATTACTCAAATAAAATTACTATAGTATTAATCGTTCATTTTTTCAGCCCTTACAATTCAAACCACATATATGTTTAAATACTGTATGTTGTAAGCATTTCTTCCACCACATTGGCCTTCTTTAGTACAATAACATTTGAAGGGTTGAATGGATGAAGGTGGTAAGTAACATTTCAGTTAAAATGAGTTCAGTATGTTTGGTGAAGGCTATAAGCGATATTCTGTCTGGAAAAGTGGTTGTTATCAATAACAGTTATCGTCCACAGTAGGACCAACCTGTTTTCCTGACACAGTACTACTTCTAGGCTGCGCCAAATATATTGAACTCATTTTTCATCCAGTTAATCATCACGTGAAATCGTCGTCAGACAGTGACGTCGATTCTATCTCACACTTCGCCAACAAATTAACGGACTTTCCACGTCGAAAAGAGGCATGAAAACGACGCGTGTCGATCTCGTGAAATCGTCGTCAGAAAGTAACGTCGATTTTATCTGACACGTCGCCTACAAATTAACGGCCTTTCCACGTCGAAAAGGGGCGTGGAAACCACGTGTATAAATCACGTGGAATCGCTGTCCGAAAATGACGTCGAATCTATCTGACATTTCGCCCATAAATTCAACGGGCTTTCCACGTCGAATAGGGCCGTCGAATACTAGGTACAGAGGTACGTTCTTTTCACGTGAAGTATACGTGTCCTTGCTGGCTGGGATAAGCCATTGTGGTTATATTTTCATATGCACTTTTTCTCATAAAATTATTTAAGGAATCATATCCTGAACTATCAGTATACCGTATAAATCTGTATTAACAGTGCTAGTCACTATATCATCAAAATCACAAGTTCGTGAGGGAGCATTTCAGCAGGTAAGGATGTGAAAAAATAGGTAGAAAAACAACATTTTACAAACGTTAACAGGGCATGTATGGCTGGACTTTTGTTAGTACAGCTTTCAGAACGTTGTCATTGTTTGAATGTGTAGCCGTTGAGTTTGACTAGCACAAAATGTCAAACAGAACCCAGAATAGTTTAATAGATTATTACGATGTAACTCATAAAGCTGCTACTCCTGGAACTGTGAATTAATGCGTTTGACACGTTGGTATTCAGTAATTTCGCGAACTCAGGCAAATCTGCGAAAACGTTAAAGTTGCATTTACTTCACAGAGAAAATTAATATGAATCTGAAGTAGTGGTTTTGCTCAAATGAAATTCCTCATTTTTGACACAAATGTAAAGAGCAAAGCATTATATGATCAAGTATGTTCTTGCCCATGACCTTGAAAGTCATTATAGGGTGCCCGAAAAGTATGAAACGGACAAAATTTCTCGAAAAATGTTTCATAGATAAAAATGTTGCGAAAACTCATGTGACTTTCAAATGAGTCAAGATTATGGATAAGGACAATCTTGAGCACAAAACTGGCCACCATGTAGATCCCCGTAATTAAAAGTAGCAGCATTCTGTCAAAACATGATTTGGTCTTCAGATGACCTTGAAGGTTATGACCAGGGTCATGAATAGGGAACATAAAATTTTCCGCTTTTTACATTTCCGGTGTCAAAAATATGAATTTCAATTTTAGAAAACATGGCTTCAAATGACTTCATAGGTCATGGGAAATGTCACCTTTTCAAGCCTTTTTACTTTATTCATAATATTTTTTTCTCGAGATGTTTTGTACTTTCGATATTTTGTAGACACTCTCAAATGACCTTGGAAGCCTCATTTGAGGCCCATATACGAGATAGGTAAGCGCAAAATGTTCCTCTCTTTACACCTTCGGTGTTAAAAATATAGGTGGTCATTAAAAAAAAATTCATTTGACCTTCAAATGACCTTTAATTCCATTGCCAAGGTGACCGATAAGCGATTCTATGAATATTGTTAATAGTCTGAGCTTTGAAAATTGTTCAATTACACATTGAAATCAAAAACAATGAATTCGTACCTTTCACTACAATGAATCTTTAAAATTTAGTCTCTGCTTTGAAGCAGCTGACCGTTTTTATGTAGACTAAAAATGCGTATTTTAGAAACACTAGTTTGTAGAAGAATGTATTTATATAATTGGTCGAGCCTCCACGATCATAGCAAAGGAAAAGGGGCCCAAAAGCGAACCTCCATTTTGTTACTGGATTGAAAAATATGAAAAATAGCATGATTTACTTTTAAAAGTTCATTAATTGCAGTTAAAAACTATTATTAACCCCGATTTGAAAAATTGGACCTCAGCTAAAAATTGTCAATCAACGGTTAAGATGTTATTCTTAAACAATGATACAGAATGTATTCATATTAGTTACATAGTTTTTGATTGCTCAGCGATGAAAATAGCAGACGTATAATTCTTTTTCTCTTCAGGTCTTCTTCTATCACATCATATACTCAGTGACGTTAGAAGTGTTACACCCAGGAAAAATAATGTCTTCAACTTGTTTTTTCAGCAACATAATGACTATATTTAAAGCATGCTGTGGCAACAATGTCAACGCTTTATCTTTGTTTTTGTTTACCTTTGTTGAAATGTTATCTCTTAGTTTTTGAGAATAAAGCAGTTTCTAGGAGCTGACTAGTTCAGATATTTTTAGTTATGGCCCTTTCATTTACTAGTGTTGAGTATAACAAAATGCCTCGAGGTTGAAGACGTCCAAATTATCACCATGTTAGCGACTCTGACAGGGACAGGGGTAGAATTATTGCCTATCGAGATGTTGGTTTGTCCAACAGCGAAATTGGTCGCCATGTTAATTGTACTGCAATGACGGTAATGCGTGTGTGTCGTATGTGGATAGAAGAAGGTAGAGGAACACGAAGAAGGCCAACCGGCTGCACCGAGGCGTACCACATAGCATCAAGGTAGGCGCTTCAGACAACTACCCTACGAGACCGTATTGCTACTACGAGTCAGATTGCTGACAGATGGTTTGGAGAAGAAGACAGACCTGTT